TACATCGCCCACATCTTCGGAGTACGCACATCAGTTCCGAAGAAATCCGCAAGGTGGAGACGGTTTCCACGAAGTCGAAGAGAGATTTTGTCACTCGATACTGAGAGTAGCGCAAAGCTGCGAAGGAAACCACACACGCCCGCGTTTGAGAGAAATGGGTGAATGCGTCGCTGTCGAAAAATTTGTCCTGTCCTGACGAATCGAACCAGACACCAACGCTGTCTTGCTGTTGATTTTGCTTTACGCGTTAGTCAAGTAGACATAAGAAACTAGAATGCATGGGAACACATTGCAGTATGAAAGGGACATTTAAGCGAAAACTATATTGTATTATTGGTAAATTACTCTTTCACAATTATAAGATGATCATTATTGCCGCGAGAAGACACGCAAGTACAGTGGCTAACGCAGGGTAGCGACACCACGTTGAAATTCCCGCACCATGCACTGTGAAGTAATGCATAGATTTCGACGGCGTCAACTGTGAGGCCGAGGCCGCTCCTAATCGGTAAAAAAAAAAAAAATGAATTACAAAGACCTCCACGCTGGCCATGCACTATACATAATTAGTTTCAGTAAATTTCTATGAGCCAATTTAGCCAAATTCGACAAGCACATAGCAAAATACGTGACATCACGCGCGAAGATTTCGGCGCGGGAATTTAAAAATGGTACATTGACATGAATTTGGACATCTATTAATACACCTCTGATGTTGAAATCAACGACACTAGAGTTCTCAGAGAACACGCGATTAGTTCTATTCGGAGCCGTTGTTTTCCTTTAGCATCCCGTTGAGGGTAACAAAAATTCATGCCACGGAGCAATGCCCTCTGCGGCAGAAGTTGCGTGCATCTTGATGCACGCTTTTAACAGCTGACGCGGCTGTGCTCTGAGCGCGTTTACGCGCTCGTCATTCTGTTTAAGTGTCCGTAAAGGTGGTATTAATGCTATATTTTCTGCCCCCCCGTCTCAGCTGTCAACGTGAAAAAATCGCGAACCTTGTTAGTGAACGCGCAGCTTTTTGCAGCTGTCATGTATGCGGTTAAACACATCATCAATTTCCGCAATTTAGACTGAAAAAAAAATTGATCGAGTTTTCAAATGTACGAACCCGAATATGTGCACAAAATATTGGGGGACTTTTAAGCCTCGTCAATGAAGAGTCGAACGCGATATTCTGTTCCTGGTGCGTACTTGAAACAGTGTATGAAACATTTTCGAATTTGCTGCGCACCCATTAGCGGCCTGGAGGGTGCAGTAACGTGTGTGCCTTTATAGTAGTGGGTGATTCGTTTTAAGACTATGAAGTCATACTGATGATCTCAGGTTACTGATGCCCGATGGACAAAGTACGCTTGTACCACGCATTATTACGGCAATATTTCATGTTCTATTGTGAAGTATGTATACAGGATGCGTGTGTTAGTAAAGCATGAAAGTTACTTTCACTGCAGAGGAAGTTATTTTCATTGTATTCACGTACATCGACAGCGGAATTTCTGCGAAACAAGCTGTATAATGCTACTGCATTAAAATTGTATAGCGTGTATCTGTAATCGTTACCGATCGGGAAAGGTGGATTTAAACCTGGACATACCGAATTAACGGGCTTTTCGAACTGATGCTAAACTAACACGTCGATTCAGCGCGACATGTACAAAAAAAAAAAACAAAGCTTATAGATAACCGTACTATTATCGAGTTATGAGCGTGATCATTGAATAGTGAAATGATAATGTTAATCCTGGATAGGTAATCGAAACAGCCCCACGTCTCCTTAGTTCGGAAACACGGCTTTTTCTAGTTACTGTTGGCATCATTCAATTCGGAAAACTAGGATTATATAAAAAAAGTGAAGTCTTCGTGTATCATTGAAGATGCAGAAACACGCACGTCGGAGCGAGGCGAGCGCTTACGTAACTATCCAAAATTAAATGACCACGTCATTCACACTACCGAAAGCACCCAGACATCTCTCAAAAAGAATAATCACCTCTACAGAAGTATAGGCAAATTTATGCGAGTTTTCTCATTAACAAATAAGGCGCAGAAAAAAAATGTCAAGGCAGTGCACGGATGCTAAATTTAGCAGCTGTGTGAAGGCGGCTCAGGATCACCGCGTTGCATAATTGAGTCAGAAACAATTGATAAATGTGCTCGTTTATTTAAAACGTCCACGTTTCAATACGGGCGTCGTGAATTTCTTACCTCCGGTACCTTTCTTGCAACGCAAGAAAGGTACCGGTGCTTCGACGAAAATAACTTTTGCTGCAGATACTGCACTGCTGCGAATAATATGGCGTTTTGCGAAAAGGTTTTGCCATCCTACAGTAGCAGGTCTTTAATTACGTCGAAACGTATTGAAACATGCTCTGAGAGTACCTTTATAAGCGGGCTAAGAGCTGGTATCACCTACAGCTGATTGTCTTTTCTTGTTTACCGTTCTGCTGCTAATGACGACGACCTTTCGTTACTCTTGTTCAAGACGGGGAAATGTGTGATTTTAAACTTTATAGGCAACTTTGTGGTCTACCGTCACGACATTTGTGCCGTTACTGTTGCTAATTTGGTTTTACGAAAACCAGTTGTCATTGCTACATCGCTTTGCCGGTCTCTCTAAGTGATTATTTGTCGGTATTTACTTCAGAAACGCCTGCACTTAGTGAATTAAGTGATTACAATTACCTACTAACTATAACAACGAACTACATGTTTGTACTACCGAGCCTTTTATCACATACCGCATCGCAGGCAACGCGGCAGTTAACTTCCACTACTAGGCGGCTGTTATCAAATAGGAGCATACCTACTGAGTAGGATTCATATTACCGATGATATTCGTCTCAGGTCTTTAATCTAGTTACGCAGTAGCAGCTTCCTTAAAGACAGTCTTGCGGCTAGACATGGTCGCGTGTTGAGAGCGATGGCGATCGGCTGTTTTTTCCTGCGAAACTACCTCGCTCCACATCTGTTACAGGGGGTGGGGGTCCTTGGTGGTCCGCGACGGAGCAAACCGACCTTCGCGACGAATGGCGCGCGTTCGAACCACACGTTACCTCGTAAAGGCTCTTTGCGACGCCACTTCTCGAAAAAACATGCCGGATAGTGCGCACTCTTACGTCGTTGCAGCCTCCGATTCTTCAAGCTCCAATACATTTGCTGTGTTTCGGTAAGTACTCGACGACAACCCGAGAAGGCGGCGCATGCTTCCTTCTACAAAACTGCCGAACGTTCCGATTCATGGTGTTACAGCTCTGCTATAAAGGAATTCCTTGACCACAAGCACATAACAGCTAGTCGTTATTACGCGAAGCACCGTCAATGAGACCATGCAAACATAAATCCCCGGCTTTGCAAGGAGGCAGTTAGTTGTAAGCGAAAACATTGTTTGGAGCAACGCTCTTGATTCCGCAAAGTTCACCAGAATGTTGAAATGTTCTCCGAACACACGTGGATTGAAAGATAGGAGCTGTTACTGTTACAGTAAAACTAACTGCCTTAAGTATGCAAGAGCGTTCGACGTCACATTTGTAATGCACAAGGCTGCGTAGGTGGGCTCGTTGGTTAATGAACGTTGTGGCAGAACAACGCGAAAAACGGGACAGTGGACACAGATATGCCCTGTGGGTTCACTGCTCCGTTATTTGCGCTGTTCTACCACTATGCCCTATCTGTAATTTTTAAGTTATCACCAACCATAACATAGAGCATTCATAATCATGCAAAGACGTGTAAAATGAAAGTACGACTCACCTTAACATTTCAGAACGATTCACGTCATCGGAGCCGGCAAAAAAAAAATCACTTCCAATCCCGAGAGATCGTCTCTCGAATTTTCTCCGAAAATCCGATCGTGGCGCGGAGGTGGACGCATCGAGGTTGACTCTCTGTTGGTGGTACCACAATCCTCATGTCGTCGACGATGATGTCCCCCCAAGAAAACGTCGAAGAATCACACCAATCGCGAAAATCACCAAGCACAATAACCGGCACGGCGGCCCGTCGTCTTGCGTCGGTCCAATGTCGTGCGGGAAAGCCCACCACAACGGAAGGGCACGGACGAACCAGTCGAAAGTTGCCTTGCTTGCCGCCGCGTGTACCGCACCATCACAAAACACAGCTTGACCGCAGAAACGCAACACACAGCTCTGGTTTGCCGAACGTGGGCCATGTCGACTGTGACCCTACCTCACACGCGTTTCACTTTAATTAAAGAGTCAAATCACGTGTCAACCAATTATTCATATTTGCAAACGGGAAATGTTGACATGCATCAACCCAACGATTTCGAATAAGTCTAATACCCTGTGAAGGAATTTGTCAATCAGTGATCCATTCGAACTTTTTATTTTAACGAACGCACACACAACCTTGCGCCTTCGACACGTTCTGACAAGCTGAGACGTGAAACCCCGCCGCTCAAAAATTTGAATTAGCACGAGCGCTGCACACACACACTATGTGCACTACATTACACAAGCTGCTTATAGTCGTAATCTCACTTGGCGCGAGATGAGCCAGCGTCAACTCATGCAAACAACCCCAGTTTCGAGCACCTGAAGGATCCGGCCTACGTTCGGCCTAAACGTTACGCAATAGCAGCTGCAGGCACCCCGCGAAGAGGCATCGCACATCGCCGGAACGAACCGCTGGGAAAACAAAACAACAACGAGCTCGCGAGGGGAACCAGCAGGCGAAGTTCCCAAACCGGCTGCCGGCAGGAAGGGCGGCCGAGGGCATCGTCGGTCGACGAGCGCCCGTGAACACCAGCACGCCGGACCTTGCATGCTACCACGCCGCCGGAGACCTTTCCCGTACACGAGAGCGCGAGCCGCGTTTCTCCGGTCAAGCATCATCGGCTGGCTGCTCCCCCGATTCCGCGCGCGAGCAGGGTGAAAACAATGCACCTCCTCAAGTCGTACTGCCGAAGAGCGTCCTCGCAAAGATCCAGGGTTTCGGGCAGGGACGACAAAACCAGCGCGCACGACGATCCTTACCTTGGTTTCCTTCGCAGCGCACCAGAACCGGCAACACCACAGCCAAATAGCAGACAAATTTCCAACGCTCCCTCCGATCCGACGCCATGACTGCATCTGACAGCTTGGGAGGGCAGGAGAACGCTGCTCGCCAGGAAACCGGAGCGAGAGACCGCCCCTTTCGCTTGCCTGCGTCACGTCCGGTCACGTTCGCCATTGGCCGAACGCAGAAAAAAGAGAGAGAGCACGCGTTTTCCGAGAGGAGGAAAGAGGAACCGCGCGGAAAAAGAACAAGACGGCGAAAAAGAAGCGGGCGAGTAGTGTGTTCGCCGCGTTGAAAAATCGCGGCCGATTTTGTGGGGGCTGTTGGGAACCAGCGGGGGCCTCTGCAGGCTTCCCTAGGCAGATCGGCGCAGATAGACGGACGGCGGCGAACGGGCACGCGGAGGCTAGAGACTCCGGAGAAAACGCCGCGGACCCTTCCCGTTCGTTGTTTATGGAGGGACGTCAAATTTGGAGACCCGAGAGGCCCCTCTTCGGGCGAAGAACAGGTTATCGTAGCGGGACGGCGCACATGAAATGGATACGGCTCATAATCAAACAGTTCGCTCATTTCATTTGCTCCGCATCGCCGAGTGTTTGTTTTTGCGTCGGCGCTTTCGGCTTAGAACGAAATTCCTGTGGTCGCTCGAGGAATACCTTATGGTGCATGTTGCGCGGTTTTCCAATAGGTGAGTAAAACGTTTATTAATGTTGTTCGCTAACAAAATTTCTGAGTGCAACGATGGCAGGTATCTGGTATGGTAGATTAACGACTATGTAGCGGCCGCCGAGCAGAGCGTCACCGCTTCTGATACTGAAAGCAACAACAGCATTCCGGTAGAAGGGCACCCAAGAACTCATACGCGCTGTCAATTCTGCTGATCGAAATGTACTTGCCTGAACAGCGCTGGCTTTTGATGAACTTGGAATAAACGGTACCGATGTTTGAGGGCACAACCATTTTTTTTTTTTATAAGGCTTGCAGTGAAAATCGAGCCTCCAGCAGTGCCCTACTCATGAATATATAATAAAACACATTTGCCTGTTCACTCCCTACCCAAGTAACAAGATAGCTTTTTTTTTATAGCCATTACATATCGGCAGAATAAATGCGTTGCTCGCTTATATTCGCATTTTTTTTTTCCTCGGGCTAGCTCGGACTCACGCTCTCAATATATGTCAACTCAATTCACTAAGAGTGAATACCTGCGTCTGACTGAATTTGTATGAGTCAACCCATGAGTGAGTTAGCCGAGCTGTGGCCATGACAAATGATATAACATAGTGTATTGGTGAAATTCGCATTGCTATCTTTGCGTTTAGCTTTCGAATGACACAAACTGACACCACTTAAGCCTTTAGAGCACGATCACCAGTTGCCCTAGTATTCGTCAAATATGTTTAAATAAAGATTGGCCGCCGCCGCGGTGGTCTAGTGGCTAATGTACTCGGCTACTGACCCGCAGGTCGCGGGATCAAATCCCGGCTACGGCGCCTGCAGCTTTTCCAATGGAGGCAAAAATGCTGCAGGCCCGTGTGCTCAGATATGGGTGCACGTTAAAGAACCCCAGGTGGTCGAAATTTTCGGAGCCCTTCATTACGGCGTCTCTCAAAATCATATGGTGGTTTTGTGACGTTAAACCCCACATACCAAATAAAGATTGGCGCTCCGCCCTCGAGTGACGGCAAACGGAACGAGATAGCAGATAGAATAACAATGGCGGTCTACATTTTAACAGGTAAATCGTTTAGCAAATCGTTCCTCGTTCATCCCGTATCAAAAGACTGTCATCAACGGGCACTCGCCGCGGAAACTCGTGTGGTATATCGAAAAATTGTCATCCTCATAGATGGGTATCTGCAACAGGAAGTGAGTGAAGCCCGCTACTCACAGTTGATCGAATAAAAATGAAAAAAGCAACAGCTATAGCTCGACAAATGGCTGTGAATCGATGGCGGAAATCAGTGTGAAGCAGTCTGTCGAATCAATGCACTCGTGAGTGAGTGTGTGTCTCTTGCGTTGGAGGTTAACAAAAGAAATTTCAGACGTCATAGACCGCGAAACGAGCGGTTTATAGAACATCAGGTGGGACGCTAACTGAAACAGGGGGGTGAGATAGAGAGCAGTAATTGAAATAGCCAATATTGTATAAGGTACGTTAAGATGGATAAAAGCAGTTGGACAGGCGGCCCTTTACAACGCGCCTTGCAGATAAGCCACCGGTCTAACTATAGAATAGTGTATACATCTTAAAAGAAACGCAGTCGAGGGCAGCACATACCTCCACGATTAGATGTGACGAAACTTTGTAATTTGGAGACATGAGGTGGGGTTATCTGACGCATGACAGATAACAGTTAGAAAACGCTAACAGACTCTCAATTGGAGCTGAGCTGCTGAGGACGTTAAAGATGGCGACTATATGAAAGCGGTGATCTCAAAATGGCAGCTAGAAACCTGACCATCAAAACTCGATCGTTTATAGAACAACACTAAAAACCACGGATTATACTGAAATCGGGAGTGATTAGTAATGCTCGCCGCGGCGAAGCGCAATGAGTTTGCAACATTTTCCAGTAGGCTGTCAGTTTGTTTATTATATAGCGACACTGAGCTTCAACCACGAGATTGGCGACAAAAAAAAAATGTTTGTTCATAACGACCGGGGCGAGTCCTGAAACCATGGAATGAGAATGAAACAAATGACTCAAGGTCGACAAAGAGACAGAACTCGAGAGATAAGAAGAAAGTGACGAGGACTGGACAGCCGCAAAAAAAGAAAAGAAAGTGCCGAACGTGCAGTCGACTGGTTTAAGACCTCAGATTGTCATCGAGGTGCGGAGCGGTAGGCCTGTCGTATATATAGTGTTACACCTGGGCTAGTGCGCATAAAAGACAAAATTTTGACCGGAAACTTTTTTTGGAAGGGCCCATCTTCGGCATCTCTCCCATCTCGAAGTGACGTGCCGGCGTTCAGTTGTGGCTCCGGGACACGCCGGACAAAACGGGCGCCCCGTTTATTTATTTTGGTCCCCCAAGAAAGGTCCGAATCGAGGAGTGTTTGCAGAGCGAAAGAAAAATTGCTTCAAAAATGAGATGGTGGCATTGAAGGCGGTGTCGTGTCAACAGAGCTGCGGGCGAGATCAGAGTATATATCCACCGTCCTCGCCACCAAAGAAGAAGTGATGGTTTGCGAGATAGTACGGCGCAGACGCTGGTGCGTGGGGTCGAAGTGAAGAAAAATGTACGCGTTTGAATAAGAAGACGAAACGAAGTTTCCGCAAACGCGGCTCTGCCTTTTTTTTTTTTTCTTCTCCGGCATTCGTGTCGCGCGGCGGAGTGATGGATAGCCGTTGTCCTTAAGGTCTGTCTCGCGCTATCTCCGTCCCCGAACAAGGCAGCCTAACGATCTGATAAGACGGCGAGGCCAACACGTGTGGTTGTATCACCGTGGTTAGCAGTTTATCAACTTCTACAGGTTCGCTCTTCGAGCCCATCTATACGTGTTTTTTTTTTTCTTCCTTCTTTATTATTTTCTATTATTTTTTTTGTAGTTATAATGAGCAAGGTACAGAAGGATTAGCGTTATCTTGCCGGAGCTAGTGAAGGTGTATTAGCGCATTGTCACTTCAATTTTTTTTTTGTCTCGCTGTTACCGTAGTTTCCTGTAACTGTTGCATCGCTAGAAGTCTGCGCGTTATCTCAAAATAGAGGAGGTATACTGTCATTAATGTTAGTGCGTGTTAAAATGCAAGGTGACGAAAATATTGCTCAGCATATATGTCATGCAGTACCTCTCTGTTACGAGGTGACCACGTCGAGGTATTACCGCTCACTTGGACACTTCTAGCACATAATTATGTTGTTCACATTGAAGGTCTCCAACTTCTGTACCGATGTAGTAGCAAATAACTCTTAATTAAGTTAGATAGGTAGGGTTGAACGTCTCAAAAAACACCATATATAATTATGAGAGACGCCGTAGTGGATGGCTCCGGAAATTTTGACCACCTGGGTTTCTTTAACGTGCACCCGAGTCTGGACACACGGGCCTAAATCATTTTCGCCTCCACCTGAAATGCAGGACAACTCTTAATTTGTCTTACGGCACATTCAGATTTGGGGTTCGGTCTGTCGATTGCTCATATGACCACGTTGTATCGAATCGCTTTACAATCTAATGGAAAAAAAAGAGTGCGGCTTTTTTTTTCTTTTTTTAGTCCTGTTTTACTACAATATGCCTCATTAAAGAGACACGTCAACTTCCTTTAGGGTCGACGACTCCCCGAAGGGAGTAAAATGGTCTACAAGCAGAGTTCACGTGACTCTTTAAATATATGTACGTGGAAAGTCAGCTATAGGACTTATCCCATGACTTTTTTTTGCGTTCACATCCAAGAAGAATGACATACAAACACCGCATCGCTACCCTCGTTAGCTAGGACGTGCAAGAAGGGTCGAAGAACGCGTTTTCTTTTCCTTGAAGTGTAGGTTCAAGTAGACATGTCTTGACATTAATGATCAGAAGTGCAAATGAAAGATAGAAATATTTGCACGTTAAAGAACGTCAGATGGTCGAAATTTCCGGAGTCCTCCACTGCGGCATCTCTCATAATTATATGGCAGTTTTGAAGCGTTAAACCCCACATATCAATCAATCAAGCTAAAAATATTTATAATGCTAGTACTTTGTACAGGATAGAATCGATGACGAAGGTTTAACGCGTCCCATAACGAATAGCCCAGCGAGAAAAAGCCGTAGTAGGCCTGTACAGTATGGGTCTCATATAGAGCTCGGCCTTGGCCACGGAGCTACAGCGTTCACGAATCGGACATGGCCGGCTTGCACCCGAGAGCCCTCAAGGAGGCGCCAGCCGGTGGTTCGATCTTTTTTTTTTTTTTTCTGCCTCTTGATTCATTGCAGGAAAGGCTGCTGCGTCGGCGGAAAGGGGCGACGAGGCGTCAGAGGGGACAGTGAGAAGATGTGGCGCGCTGCAGAGGCACACCCGTGGGGGCCAGCTTCTTCCTTGGCGCGTAAATCACGTCCAGTTTTACTGTCCCTTCTG